GTCTACTCAGCCCTTCTAGGCACTCAGGGACACAGTTCTACTCATTACCAACACAGGCACCCATGTATAATGTCTACTCAGCCCTTCTAGCCTCAGGGACACAGTTCTACTCATTACCAACACAGGCACCCATGTATAATGTCTACTCAGCCCTTCTAGCCTCAGGGACACAGTTCTACTCATTACCAACACAGGCACCCATGTATAATGTCTACTCAGTCCTTCTAGCCTCAGGGACACAGTTCTACTCATTACCAACACAGGCACCCATGTATAATGTCTACTCCCTTCTAGCCTCAGCCCTTCTAGCCTCAGGGACACAGTTCTACTCATTACCAACACAGGCACCCATGTATAATGTCTACTCAGCCCTTCTAGCCTCAGGGACACAGTTCTACTCATTACCAACACAGGCAACTTTGTTTACTCCATAAAAGTAAGAAGTCAAGTAAAAGAAATGCCTTAGGGAGTCATTATTACAATAATCCATATATTACAATCATGCTGAGAATTTCACATTTGGACTGTAACTCCAATATTTCAGTGATAGGACAACATTTCAAGACAATTTTTATACAGACAAATCGATAAAATGTGCTGCAGGAAAATCACTGACTGCCTGTGATATCTTTCCAGGAGGTGATCGATCACCTGTGATATCTTTCCAGGAGGTGATCTGTCACACACTGTTTGTCATCATGTCATAAAAGACAAATACATTTTGCGTATGCTTCCTATACACCCTGAACAGGCCTCACCTACAACATCAGACTTGCACGTAGACTTGCCTCTAAGGATACAATTACTATACATCCATCAGGCCTACCAGCATTTTTCTTCTCAGTGGGAAAGTATTCTTTGGTAGGCCTGTACATGGGCTCAACATTCAATTAAGCATATATATACACCCCAGGTATGCAGTCAGTCCCAGTCAGTACTATTTACCTATACACCCCAGATATGCAGTCAGTCCTATTTACCTATACACCCCACGTATGCAGTCAGTTCAAGTTACCTATATACCCCAGGTATGCAGTCAGTTCTATTTACCTATACACCCCAGGTATGCAGTCAGTTCCATTTACCTATACACCCCAGCTATGCAGTCAGTTCCATTTATCTATATATTCCAGGTATGCAGTCAGTTCTATTTACCTATACACCCCAGGTATGCAGTCAGTTCCATTTACCTATACACCCCAGCTATGCAGTCAGTTCCATTTATCTATATATTCCAGGTATGCAGTCAGTTCCATTTACCTATATACCCCAGGTATGCAGTCAGTTCAAGTTACCTATATACCCCAGGTATGCAGTCAGTTCCATTTACCTATACACCCCAGGTATGCAGTCAGTCCTATTTACCAATACACCCCAGGTATGCAGTCAGTCCTATATTACCTGAGGTATGCAGTCAGTTCCATTTACATATATCGGTACACCCCAGGTATGCAGTCAGTTCCATTTACCTATACTCCCCAGGGGTATATAGGTAAATGGGACTGACTGCATACCTGGGGAGTATAAGTAAATGGAACTGGCTGCATAATTATTATCATGATAAGCAAAAGGTCACAAGGAAATGACAAGGAAGACAAAGAGTGAGTGAGTGAGTTTAGTTTTACGCCACTTTTAGCAATATTCCAGCAATATCAAGGCAGGGGACACCAGAAATGAGCTTCAAACATTGTGCCCATATTGGGAATCGAACCCGGGGTCTTCAACGTATCAAGCGAACGCCTTAACCACTAGGCTACCCCACTGCCCCAAGAAGACAAAGAAAATAAACAGTGTCTTTCATAGGAAATAATATCAATTTTGTCATGATGTGTTAAGCATTATCACTCTGATATGAATATTGCAATATATGGTCAGTGAAACACAAATACTGCTACTGTTAGATACGTCATGAACAGTGATGATAATATAACATTCTCATTTATGTGAACTCAAAGATATTATGATTCAGACATTGAACGTTAACATGGCAGATTAAAAATTATGGAGCAATAAAAGCACACTTCTCTTCTATTCAAAGAATCAATGGTTAATTTTAAACATAAAAAATTCATTGGGGAACAGAAATAACTCGCTGAAATGTAACATCATTCAACACAAAGGCGAAAAATTAATGGCTGCATTCAAATTATCCAGCTGATAAACCAACAATTAAATGAAAACTTCCCGAATGAATATTCATGAATGTGCTGGTATATGCAAGACAATGGCATCCATTAATACCAGACCATATTGTTTATCATAAGAGTGCTGAAGCAGAACACACTGACATTCTCTTCAGAATTTACTGAAGGAGTTGCTGTGCTACAAGTAGATACTGCTGCCATCTACCATGACCTAGTCTGTCTTACAGTCCCTGAACCATATTATTTTACCTACAGCCTAGCTCTCCCTGCAATGCTAAAGCCCTAAATGAAGCAAGCCTAAATGAAGTCTAGATTTCCCCAGGTTCTGATTCTCTGGTCTCCCTGGGTCTCTGTTTTCAATATAAATGGGTTTATTTGTTACAATCAAACTTATATATAAATTCAGAGAAAAGGCGTTAGTCTAACCATGACTGAGTGGAATGCTCTAGTTTGATGGAAAATCAGTTGCTTTCAAACCACAATAACAAGCCACTGATTTCAGCACTGAGTAACCATCCCGTTGTCAGGGTAAGCTGACAAGCAACCAATGGTCAGTGACCTAACCTAGCACCTGATCCATGAGCCCTGATCCATGAGCCAAAACGGCATTCATAGCATCCCAACACGGCAGTCATAGCATCCCGAAACGGCATAGAAAATCGTCAAAGATGGCGGCGAGGGGAGACGAATAGGCTTTGGTACATAACTGTTTTTTCGTCACTATGAGTCTAATCTTGAAAATTTGATATCGGGATGTAGTGCATAAACCCCTTATTGTAGTAAGCTTCAAACCTATGTCCATACTTCTAAGTGTCAGGCTTGCAATTCTACACAATGTGGTCCCTCGTTCAACCGAATAGGATTTCTTGTCAACATGCCGTGGTCCTGTTTCTCTTCAGTTTTGTAAATAAAGTGTTCATAGCGTCACATTCAACATTACTATATTTTAGTGATTTAAAAGGTTTACAAAAAGTTTGTTCATTTTCTGTGAATTGCATATATAAGTGATCATTTCTACTTTGACTTCCCAAACTGCCTTGTACTAGCAGTTAGTTCTATAAATTAACACATACAATGCCACCACCAAACCTTTTTGAAAGATTTCGATGCTACTAAAATAACTACTGACTGGTTTATCAGTGTGTTTATTGTGGGTGATCTAGCGCTTAGTCTCTGGCTGTACACGATTTTGAACAAATAATTCCTTTTAAATTGAAAAGGAGACCCAATGAGATAGGAGCAGAGGCCCAGATAAGCTGCGTATCCGGGTAAAATATGCATAGAAAATTTCCAATTACGCATTGAAAAATAATTGTTGCGTACCAATTACGCATTTAAAATGTTAGATACGCAAAAGGTTTAAAACAAATGCGTACGGAATATATTTAAAAAAATTGCTTGTGTAAGGAAAAAGACATCGATTGCTATCAAGTTGTACTGTTAGTATAGGACTAGTGTTGTACTGTCAGTATAAGATGAGTGATTTTTTATGAAATCATTTCCATTATATTTAACTTGGTTTTGATTAGGTATGACATAAGGCAGAACATACCTGCTTAGTAAACTTACTCAATGACATAATACTTAGGTGAGTAAAATGACTAAAATACGCACATATTTGAAAGCAGTGGGTAACAGATAATGAAATACCCACTCAACATTCATAATACCCACTCCAAAAAAATACAGTGGGTACAGTACCCACATGAGCTAAATCTTATCTGGAGCTCTGTAGGAGATTCCTGAACCTGAGGAAATCTAGACTTCATTTAGGGCTACAGCATTGCAGAGGGTTGGGTAGACTTGCACAAGTCTCGAAGGTAATAATTAATCGTTTATTTCTAAAAAATATAAATATCCCTCTAATAGATTGTGTCTCGTAATGTCAGGTTATCTAGATTTACTGGACATCATGGGTCTTAGTTTCTGAAAATATATATAATTTTGATAGCAACAAATAAACCCATTTAAATTGAAAAGGAGCCCCAGTCAGATGGGAAATCCTGAACCTGAGGAATTCTAGACTTGCATCATTCATCCCCGCTTTAGCATTGCAGAGAGGGCTGGGCAGTAGGGAAAATAATGTGGTTCATGGACTGTGAGACAGACAGACAGACAGACAGACAGACAGACAGACAGACTAGTGTATGTGTGTCTGTGATGGGTGGTCAAGTCTCAATGGACCACACTCAGTGTCAATGGCTGGTGTTGTGAATCAATAGCATACATCAACTCTTTCTAGTGATCATGCAGTTCATCAGGCAACTTGCCACAGCTCATACATAAAGACATATTCTCCCACAAATAATCAACATGGCATCCTGTAGGAGGTGTAGACATTCTCCTATCTGTGTGCTTACTTACATGAACCTGAACCAAAACATGACTGTACAATCACAGCAGTAATAAAATACTGAACTGTAATTAAAACAGTTTTATGACAGTAATTACTCATATGATATGTATACTAATGTACTTCTGCAAAATGAAACCTTTAGACCTGAATATTTGTTTTTGTGAGGACAGTATGATGAGATGTTGTCATTCTCTGTCCTGTATTGTCTATTTGTGTCCTGTATGTCCCCAATTCCATAAACATAAAACCTACTCTCTTCAACCTTTGAAGCATGCACATTCATTGTGCAAGATCATATGCAATCCTACACTAGACAGCCAGCTGTACCCCAGAGATACCTGTAATACAACCATCAACACAAGCCTAGAGGGCAAACGCAAACAAAAACTTTTTCCATCAATCATGGCCTCTTGAATTCTTGGGTTATCAAATCAGAAAATTAGGTCAGTGAACATCAACATTTAACTTGAGGGTGGAAAACAAAAATATAGATGACTCACCTGGTAAAATGGCTACTCCTGATCGGAGCAGATCGTAGTCGAGATCCATGATAATTCTAGGACAGTCTAAGTCCCGCTTGGTGTGGTATCCATTGCTACTTAGACTTCCGCTGCTGCTGTGGCGACTGCAACTTTGACTTGAGCCTCCATCCTTCACTGAAGCTGATGGGGAATCTGCCGATAAAGCGATACCTCTCTCATCAATACAATCCATGTCTGCCATTGTGATAATAATTGCTCACATTCACCATACATCATCCACAAACACAGCCACATTGACCTTATGATGTCCGCCCATTCTTTGATGAGAGCTGTACTGAGGTGCAATTATCTATCATGTATCCAAAGTTTACCAACTTTCACTGCGGGTATGACTAAGACAGCAGCTGCCACAGCCTGGTGGCAGACGACACACTACCATGCAGTGTAGGGTGCTGCAACCACTGCCATCAAAACAAAGCTGCATGAATGAGGGCAAACGGCAAGTCCCATTCAGAAGATACTTCTCCAATGTTCTTTTCTCTCCCATACTGCTCCATAGCGAATGACAGCCATTGTCTACTCCTGAAAGTGCACTCAACTTCACTCCATTAATCCGTACTACTACAAGGGCTGATAAACCCTAAATGTTACATGATCCCAGGGTTTAGACAAGTTACACAAACTGGAAGAAGCAAGACTTGGTCTGTAATGGAAGAGCAAACACCAAACCAGCATCTGTCAGTCTCTATCGGCTATTGTCTCCTGCCCATCCCAACACTGTGAGTATCGTGTGACCCTGGCCAGGTATCCAACCCTCTTTAATAAAGGTAGACTGTGATCCCAGTGTTCTGCACTGCATCACTCCATGGCAGACACACACGCCACTTGCCTATATAGAACACACTACTGTCCCTAGCCTGTGAGCTCCTCTATAGGAAATGGGTCAATAACTACGTCTACACCACATGGTGAAGAAAACATTTACATCACAAAAGCAAATTGTCTTCAGCTTCAACAAAGACTGTCAATACAAATGTCACCTGAAATGATTTGTTCCTTATACAACTCATGTGTAACCAACCAATTCACACTTGAGAAATTAATGGGATGTTAATCGATAAATACCAGCAGACAACAACCTTAAAATGATTTACCGAGATGAACCGTTTCAACATACTAGTGAAATAGTTATAACAGTTACAATAGTTCATGACCTGTCTGAAATATCCCCACAAAAACTTGGAGCCTCCCAGCTGTCAAGTGTATCACGAAAAGCTACGACTTCTGGCCCCAGATTTAGGAATGTGTTGGCAATACATGTCCGTGCAGTCCCTGCTGCAGTGTGACTCTCAGCTTCAATCCCTGCAACAGTGGGGCACACAGCACCCTTCAGGTCAGCTTGATAGGATTACAAGGAATTACATGATATTAGCGCAATGAGCCAACATTACATAACTGAGTGGAAAATCAACTCTGGGCAATCAAGCCAAGCTCTGTCAGGTTAATTGTCCGGAAGGATGCTTTGTGGTGCATGCAGTATATCACCTTAGCTCACTTTTACTTAGGTACTATTTTCACATTCTAGCCATCTGCACACTGTAAAAATGGCCACACACTTGATAGTCCTTCAGAGACTATCAAAGTACTATTGATTTTATATTCACTGTATTTACTTATGGGATAAGAGTATTTGTATGTATGCAGAATAGACGGGTCCCTCAGTGAAATACCTCCATCATTACATGTTCTCTTGTAGAACACTGGAGTGTAATTACAAGTCTTGTTGACTAACAGTGAACGTTACACCAACATCCCCCGTCTGATGCTAGGCTACAGTGGGGACCAGGACTCAGATCTGATGGCAAACCCACAATTAATTTATTATCCCTGAGACAAAAGGACAAATATTAGCAACTCACAAGATTAATATTTGTGAAAATGTTAACAAATATAAATTAACAGATCGGTATGCTGAAGATATAATAACAATTACAATTTGAAACTTATGGTCAGCTCAGTTGATTTCCAGCTATTTCTTGAAAGTTATGTGAAACACCTGTGTGTGTTGGTGTAGCATGACACACACAATGTCCTGATTTGTCTCCACCAGACCAGACAATACAGTCAGCTTGTTGTGACTGATGACACTGTACTGACTATGGAATATAATCTACGATGATGCCATTGCATTTGATTGGTTAATGCACTTTGTATTAAAAAACTTTAAAAGAGTAAGTGAGTGAGTATGGTTTTACGCCTCTTTTAGCAATATTCCAGCAATATCACGGCAGGGGACACCAGAAATGGGCTTCGCACATTGTACCCATATGGGGAATTGAACCTGTGTCTTCGGCGTGACGAGCCAGTGTTTTAACCACTGGGCTACCCCATCCCTCCATAAAAGAAGTAAGCAAGATTAAATAATAACTATTTGGTAACAGACTGGGTATGTTTCAACATCAATGTTTGTAGTGTCTTGTATTGTTTTTGATTATATTACTTCCTTAAGTGGCATGTAGAAGCTGGTATGATGAAGAGGAACACTTTTTATGGATAGACAACTTCTTTATTGGAGTGGATGCCTCTTGTTGCAGTCTATGATTATCTTTGATTACATTAGTTGTTTGTTATAAAGATTACTCTATCTGACTGATGAGTACACTGTGTAAATACATTTAGAGTCCATTCTTAACGACCACACTCACACAACCTGCAGAGGTCATGTCATCACCAACTCACAAAACCTGATGACAGTGTTAATGAGTGCAGTGAAAATATCTACAACATATTACATAACACTGATTAACAAATGTTCAGCCAGTGTTCCGCAACCTACATCAAGAAAAGAGGGACCTTTACAGTTCAGGGTGCACGGATCACACACTACTCCGACTGTGTCACTCTACTGATAGTGTCCTGCCATGCACCAAATAGCCGGTAAATCTGTTAATTCCCCCTCGCTACCATGGATTACACCTAATCTGCATGTAGTTGTGGACCCTAGTCACCTGAACTGTCTCAATGTTACCTGTATACAGGTGTACTACATGTAGTTGTGGACCCTAGTCACATGAACTGTCTCAATGTTACCTGTATACAGGTGTACTACATGTAGTTGTGGACCCTAGTCACCTGAACTGTCTCAATGTTACCTGTATACAGGTGTACTACATGTAGTTGTGGACCCTAGTCACCTGAACTGTCTCAATGTTACCTGTATACAGGTGTACTACATGTAGTTGTGGACCCTAGTCACCTGACCTGTGTCTCAATGTTACCTGTATACAGGTGTACTACATGTAGTTGTGGACCCTAGTCACCTGACCTGTGTCTCAATGTTACCTGTATACAGGTGTACTACATGTAGTTGTGGACCCTAGTCACATGAACTGTCTCAATGTTACCTGTATACAGGTGTACTACATGTAGTTGTGGACCCTAGTCACCTGACCTGTGTCTCAATGTTACCTGTATACAGGTGTACTACATGTAGTTGTGGACCCTAGTCACCTGACCTGTGTCTCAATGTTACCTGTATACAGGTGTACTACATGTAGTTGTGGACCCTAGTCACCTGACCTGTGTCTCAATGTTACCTGTATACAGGTGTACTACATGTAGCTGTGGACCCTAGTCACCTGACCTGTGTCTCAATGTTACCTGTATACAGGTGTACTACATGTAGCTGTGGACCCACCTGACCTGTGTCAATGTTACCTGTACCTACATGTGTCTCACCTGAACTGTCTCAATGTTACCTGTATACAGGTGTACTACATGTAGTTGTGGACCCTAGTCACCTGAACTGTCTCAATGTTACCTGTATACAGGTGTACTACATGTAGTTGTGGACCCTAGTCACCTGAACTGTCTCAATGTTACCTGTATATGTACTACATGTAGTTGTGGACCCTGTCATGACCTGTACAGTTACCTGTACCTGAACTGTGTACTACATGTAGTTGTGGACCCTAGTCACATGAACTGTCTCAATGTTACCTGTATACAGGTGTACTACATGTAGTTGTGGACCCTAGTCACCTGAACTGTCTCAATGTTACCTGTATACAGGTGTACTACATGTAGTTGTGGACCCTAGTCACCTGAACTGTCTCAATGTTACCTGTATACAGGTGTACTACATGTAGCTGTGGACCCTAGTCACCTGAACTGTCTCAATGTTACCTGTATACAGGTGTACTACATGTAGCTGTGGACCCTAGTCACCTGAACTGTCTCAATGTTACCTGTATACAGGTGTACTACTGTATACCCTAGTCACCTGAACTGTCTCAATGTTACCTGTACATGTACTAGTAGCTGTGGACCCTAGTCACCTGAACTGTCTCAATGTTACCTGTATACAGGTGTACTACATGTAGCTGTGGACCCTAGTCACCTGAACTGTCTCAATGTTACCTGTATACAGGTGTACTACATGTAGTTGTGGACCCTAGTCACCTGAACTGTCTCAATGTTACCTGTATACAGGTGTACTACATGTAGTTGTGGACCCTAGTCACCTGACCTGAATGTTACTGTGTACTCAATGTTACCTGTCATAATGTTACCTGTATACAGGTGTACTACATGTAGTTGTGGACCCTAGTCACCTGATCTGTGTCTCAATGTTACCTGTATACAGGTGTACTACATGTAGCTGTGGACCCTAGTCACCTGACCTGTGTCTCAATGTTACCTGTATACAGGTGTACTACATGTAGCTGTGGACCCTAGTCACCTGACCTGTGTCTCAATGTTACCTGTATACAGGTGTACTACATGTAGCTGTGGACCCTAGTCACCTGACCTGTGTCTCAATGTTACCTGTATACAGGTGTACTACATGTAGCTGTGGACCCTAGTCACCTGACCTGTGTCTCAATGTTACCTGTATACAGGTGTACTACATGTAGCTGTGGACCCTAGTCACCTGACCTGTGTCTCAATGTTACCTGTATACAGGTGTGGACTGTATACAGGTGTACTACATGTAGTTGTGGACCCTAGTCACCTGAACTGTCTCAATGTTACCTGTATACAGGTGTACTACATGTAGTTGTGGACCCTAGTCACCTGAACTGTCTCAATGTTACCTGTATACAGGTGTACTACATGTAGTTGTGGACCCTAGTCACCTGAACTGTCTCAATGTTACCTGTATACAGGTGTACTACATGTAGTTGTGGACCCTAGTCACCTGAACTGTCTCAATGTTACCTGTATACAGGTGTACTACATGTAGTTGTGGACCCTAGTCACATGAACTGTCTCAATGTTACCTGTATACAGGTGTACTACATGTAGCTGTGGACCCTAGTCACCTGAACTGTCTCAATGTTACCTGTATACAGGTGTACTACATGTAGCTGTGGACCCTAGTCACCTGAACTGTCTCAATGTTACCTGTATACAGGTGTACTACATGTAGCTGTGGACCCTAGTCACATGAACTGTCTCAATGTTACCTGTATACAGGTGTACTACATGTAGCTGTGGACCCTAGTCACCTGAACTGTCTCAATGTTACCTGTATACAGGTGTACTACATGTAGTTGTGGACCCTAGTGACCTGAACTGTCTCAATGTTACCTGTATACAGGTGTTATACATGTAGTTGTGGACCCTAGTCACCTGAACTGTCTCAATGTTACCTGTATACAGGTGTACTACATGTAGTTGTGGACCCTAGTCACCTGAACTGTCTCAATGTTACCTGTATACAGGTGTACTACATGTAGTTGTGGACCCTAGTCACCTGAACTGTCTCAATGTTACCTGTATACAGGTGTACTACATGTAGTTGTGGACCCTAGTCACCTGAACTGTCTCAATGTTACCTGTATACAGGTGTACTACATGTATCTGTTAACCCTGTAATGCCCTGTAATGTTCAGTCAATATTTGGGATCACTATAATCATACTGTCAATTGAACATCTTCACATGTAGGCAAATCTACCTGAGAGTACTGCAAGCTCCAGTTTAACTCCTGATGAAGGGCATCTTCTGCAACACACCCTTGTCAAGTTCTTGTCTGTAATTGACCTTAGGTGTTGGTATTTTATTAGAGCTTGTTACAATCAATTACAAAACTCAAATCTCCAAAATTTAATTAAAAAACGCATCAGAAAAGCTAAAGTTTACCACAGAATGTGTCTTGATGTGAGTTGCAAGGGTCATGTATGTGTGCAACACTTTCCCTTGTTGCTCGCATGTCGTCTGGCTTATACTTACAGGAGTTAATTCAAATACCGACATTTGATTTATCAAATTCAAAGGTTAAGGGGGATAACTTTGCATGGAATGTCTAGGCAATGTCCGCCCATGTTTGCAGCATACGTGTCACTAAACATAGGTCAGGTTTTAAAGTTATTCAATCTATTTTTCCCATCATATCCTTGCAGATTACTACACCCAATTAAGCCAGGAAAATTCAACTAGTTTTCTATCATAACACAAGCCCCAAAATAAATCACCTCACTTATCAGTAAAAATGAAAACTGAAAGTGATTTCCGATTCAGCTTTATAATTGGAACACCATAATCAGGTATGGAAGATTAGATCCTATTAGTCTGTTGTAGCATTCCTCCCCTACAGAGATTCCAGAGAAACACATGACAACACATGATTGAAGATTCCACCCCGCCATAATGAAATACAACCTCATAAAGATTGTGAGGCCTAATAGTTCTTGAAATGGGATAAGTATTTATGAACTGTATCATTTATATTTAATTATTAACCAACACCAAAGTACTTTGTTCTGATCCACGGACAATTACATGAAATAGCTCAGCTAATTGCTATTGTGGAGTAGTTGTATGGAGAACTTTGCGGGATTTGCTGGTCCTTCAACACTCAACATTGTAAGCATCCATCTATTAAGTGGTCTTTGGACATTTGCAATTCATTGGCAAATGAACAAAGCATACATTTATGTTTGCCATAATTGAATTAAAATCACATTAGCAATGATATCTGGTTTATTTGTTTGATGTTAACAGCACACTTCCGCTACATGGCGGCAACCTGGACCACTCACACCTGACAATAACTCTGGACATCAAATTCATAAAGTCACCTGTTGTGACATGCAACAGGTTGCCAGGGACCAACCTATCCCAAAGGTATCACCAGGGAAACACAATTTGCATGATGCCATTAATAGCCAGTAACATAGGGGTTGAAAAATGGAATTCTGAAATTCAGAAGACATAGTGTAAGCAGCAATTAGCACCATCAGGCTGACTCTCAGGGTGACCTCAGAAAGCTGCATGGAGAGTTGACAATGGAGACAAAATGGAGCTACAAGATTCTGTAGCTCACCTGTACCTTCTACAGCTGCCAACCCCTGACTGCCCCAAAAAGTGAGAATGAGACAATCTGGAGGCCCCGGTCAGGTCCAGGTTGGAACCCTGGTAGGGGGCCCAGGGTGCGAAGCCCCCCCCAGCGAAAAACTACTTTTACCAGAAATTAGGCATAACTAGACTATCTCTGATGAGGTTAAAAGATTACATAAATACATTTTCGCGTTCATTTTTTTCAAAATGTCTAAATTTGAATATCCAAGTGAGAAATGGGAGCATGGCATGAGAGCGCGAGTATAGTTGGAAATGCATGAGACTCGCACAATATGTGTGAGAGTTGACAGGTACAGCATTTCAAATTTCAAATGTCACATACAAAAACAGATTACTATTGCATATGTTTATCATTTTCTATATTCAATCTGGCTACCTTGAAGGCCATGGTTCGAATTGGATCAGTGAATGAGTTTAGTTTTACGCCACACTCAGCAATATTCCAGCAGTAGGTAATAATCGAGTCTGGACCAGACAATCCAGTGATCAACAGCATGAGCATCAATCTGCGCAATTGGGAACCGATGACATGTGTCAACCAAGTCAGCATGCCTGACCACCCGATCCCGTTAGTCGCCTCTTATGACAAGCATGGGTTACTGAAGATCAATTCTAACCCGGACCTTCACGGGTCCGAACTGGATCAGAATTATATAAGCACTATTCACAATGTGCCTGCAATCATCCAGCAAAGCTTCGGCATCATCTGCCTTGGGGCTTCATAGATGGTGCAAACAGTTAAATATGAATGGATCGACTGTAAATCTGATAAAATTGAACAAAAAAGGCTTACCATTAGCAACAGCAGAGTCTGAACTGAGGTTAGTTTCCTGACCCCCAGATATGTCCGATCCCTTTGAAACACTTGCACAACTCCCAGAATCCTCTGTTTCCATATCCCCAGCTACATCCTCCCAACGTAAGCGCTGGATCTTTTCCTCCATCATGGCCAGGCAGTTCCGCAGAACTCTTGGCCAATCTTGATCTTCCATTTTAGGTGGTTTCTTGCGTACCCAATCCATTGTGAACACCTGCCTGTATTCACTTTCTAACACAAGATATTCATGTACACCATCCGTACCCTGGTACCTTAACACCAAACACGGACAATCCCTACTCTGCGTACATACACAGAAAAGAAATTCTCCCTCCGAAAGTTGTTCTTGGTCAGAGGTGATGTAGATGTGTACAATGACTGCTCCCTTGTATCCAAGTGGCCAGTCATCCTCGGCATGTCGTGTGGCGCTTAACTGAAAAATTAAAGATAATCATAAGACTTTCTTCTCTGACCGTCACAACATGAAATCATAACACAAACTTCTGTACATGCTAAAGTTGGATTCATTTGAAAACGAACCTGGAGTATTGATTTGAGGACTTTCCTTATATTAAATTATTTTTAAACAAGTTGTTGAATGTTCTGCTAGTCTGCATAACTTCATACATGGAGGAGGGACTTTCAACTCGCAATACAGAATCTGCAGTTGATCTGACTGATTCTATGGCAAAAAATGCCAAATTCTGCATGTCTGCTCTGCACAAAACATGGGATACAAACAACCTGACATACCCACATGCATATGAAAGTGTGCCTTGACCTGAACAAGAGACCTGCTTTCATGACCTGCTTCCTGCTTCAGTATTTTGCCATTTTACATCTAGAAATGTACCTATTTGCAGAATTTCATGAATGATTGACCCAGTGCTCTGCGATGATGGCCACCCAATCCACAGGAGTAACTTGTCAGACTGTCCCTGGAGCCCTATGTTACCCTGGTAATATCATGAATGACTGCTGCTTTATGTCAGCAATGTCACAACAACCAATGAACGATGTGTTAAAATAACTAATAGAAGCCATATTTATTCAAAGTTAACCATATGTAGTAATCTGTCCAGTCCCTAAAAAATCATTCTCGTAGTGATAAAATACATAATTTTAGCAACCTTTTTTTTGTGTGATTTGGTTTAAAGTTTGGGTGTAAGAATAATGCTAACCAAATAATGTCCTCTCAAACATACTACAAACATTGTTGATGGTGCAAAAACGCCTGTTTGTTGGCAAACAGTTCTGTACAGTGAACCCAGTGGAACACACACAGAAACAGGTGAGACCACACTGGAGGTAGCTACCAGTGCTATCATCCCTCCACCCTGGTGAAAGCACAGCTGAGCTGAATACCACAGCAGTGGAAATCACCACTGAGAAACGTCCAGATCAGTTGTGCTTAATGTGTTGCACCTTTTGAAGTTTTCACCAATATTGACATAAATCTATCATGTGCTGGAATCGACAAAGCAGGCAGATATATGATGGTGATTCACAGAATGAAGGACTGGGAAATGAGAAGAGTAAATAGCATGAGGGTTAAACCTTTAGTAGCACTTCAACTGTGTCTCTACCAGCAATAAAATGTACCCCAGTTTGCTATTCTAGCCAACAGTTTGTTTTCATGTTTTACATTTCAACATAGACTGAGAGAGTGAAAGCCCAGGTTTGCTTTTCAACAGTGAGGGTAGTAATCCTTAGATCTGTTTACATTTCTAAGTCAAAACAAACAAAGGACTGTTTGCTCTGAAATAAGTATACAGTGCAGTAAGGCCATGTAACAAACAACTATCAATACATGGAATCGTAAACTGTCAATGAGATATGATTTGTGTGTGTGTGTGCGTGCGTGCGTGCGTGCGTCGTGTCGTCGTGTTGTAGCGTGTGAAATTGGTCATCTGATTGCCAAGTTGATATTTTACAAATAATGAAGTATGTATTGTGCGTATTCTTCTGTTCATGTACAAACTTGGACATCCTTCTGTAAGAAACCACAACATATTATATCTTGGAACATGTGTAGACTGAGAACTTTATTTAAAAATGCCACAGAAACAGAACGGAATCTAATGACGCAAATCAGCACAACTTGAAGAACTAAAATACTGAATAAATAAATTCACACCAAACTGAAGAAGCATTCTATCACAATGTTCAAACATACATTCGCAACTGACATCAAAGTGAGGTGTAACCTTTCGTCAAGGGGTGTCTAAACTGAAAGCTTTTTGCCCTCATCGGTTTTATTAAATGATAATGATAATGTTTATAAAGAAAACATTTCCTGGTGGACTGCTCACAAGAATCAAGACAGAAGGCATGTGCTGGGCCATACACCATTATTTTCAAACCACAACTCGCCAAGAAAAACAAGAATGCGGACATCCAATTACCAGGCACGGAGACCGACACATCACTCTGGATGTTTGCACACGGGATAACATCCCCTTAATACAAAGGTGCAAAAACTACTTTAAACACAAGGTATATTTTACACACACCTCATATGGAGGGAAACGTGACAAGCACTTCCTTGAGAAAAGATGGGTTTTTTTCACATCTTTTCCATTAGTTACACATTTCATAAAGAATAAAATTCTTAAATTACACAACTTGAAACTTTTACAAAATATATTATATATATGATATATTCTCATAGATTGTCAATACAATTATTTAGATTATGTTAATAAAGTTATTCAGATTATGATTAGAATTGTAGAATGTCCAAATTTGCTGTGAAATTAACACCCACAATACACACACGTCCAAGCAACAGGGAAAGTGAGAAGTGACTCTTAAGTTTGAATGACATCCCACTAAGCCTTAGATTAAAATTCATATCAGGCGGCAGATCTTCTTCAAACAAGAAAGTAATCCACTTGGCACACGAGCCAGCTGTTATCTAATACTATAGGGGAGTTGTGATGTTAATCTCCAGTGTAGCACAGTGTTTATCTGGTGGGGAACCCGCTTCACTGACCTACAGGTCACGACCACTGACTTCCATGGACAGATGACTGCATGTTGTTAGATAGAGGTGTCGTAGCAAGAGGGAAGAGTTACCAAGGAAATCTGTCACATGTTATACATTGCATATTTCTTCTTTTCATTTCTTTGTTCACAGTGTTTTCATACCCAATGCTCTTATATTAAACCATATACTTAGTAGCTCCAATGTTTTGGTCACAGTTTTACTTGTTTCTGGCAAATGGACTTCAGTCATCACAGGCATACATTTGCAAAAAATCAACTCGTCAGTTCAAGGTAAAGGTCTAACAAAAGCAACTTAGTAGTAGACATATCCTGTAGACTGGGCAAGGATAAGTTACCTGAAGGGTTTTGCACCTGTGGCCAGGTAAGTGTGACACATGTAAGATCCATACAGCAGATAGGGAGCTGGGAGGATAACTGTACCTCCATCATTACCACCCGAGGACATAGATGCAAGGCACTGTCAACTGGGATGAGAACATTATTGGTAATTTGTTTCTTCATTGGCTTTATTGGGAATGTTTGATGTTGTTTCTGGGCCATGACATATATATGATATATATATATATATGTCATGTTCATGTCCTACATCCTGTGTTCTGATCACATCCTACATCCTCTACATGTCCCAGCCACATCCTACATCTAGCTATGACCTAATGTATGTTCAATCTATGTCCTACAACCTGTATGTGCCCTGATCACATCCTACATCCTCTACATGTCCCAGCCACATCCTACATCTAGCTATGACCTACTGTATGTTCAATCTATGTCCTGCAACCGGTATGTGTCCTGATCACATCCTACATCCTCTGGATGTCCCAGCCACATCCTACATCTGGGAAGGATGAATGTTTCATCCCTGAATCCCGGGGAAAAACTCACAAATCCTGGGGACAAGACAATGCACTGCTGAAATCCAGGAAAGTATTTCATCAGTTCTGAAACAGTTCCAACTTGTGAGTGTCAGTTTACAAAAACTACAACTATATCTACACGCAGTGACTCACTGTGGGCACACTGCCAACGTTACAGATCACCAACACTCTGCAAACACTGATTTGCAGAAACCCACAGCACTGAGCAGAAACCATTCTCATAAATGATAATTGATTCAGCTATTGAGCTATTTCAGTAGTTTGTACTATCTAGTATTTCATTTTAGCACTGGTACACCTAATTGACTAATTACTCATGAAAGAACCACAGCTATGATAGAGCCACATCCTGGTCTACCTCCAAGTTATGGAGCCCTGTCCAGGTCTACCTCCAAGTTATGGAGCCATGGCCAGGTCTACCTCCAAGCTATGGAACCATGGCCAGGTCTACCTCCAAGCTATGGAACCATGGCCAGGTCTACCTTCAAGTTATGGAACCATGGCCAGGTCTACCTTCAAGTTATGGAACCATGGTCAGGTCTACCTCCAAGTTATGGAGCCCTGTCCAGGTCTACCTCCAAGTTATGGAGCCATGGCCAGGTCTACCTTCAAGTTATGGAGCCATGGCCAGGTCTACCTCCAAGTTATGGAGCTATGGCCAGTTCTAACTGTGACTGATGGAGCTAAGATGAACAAAGAATCTTTGTAGTTTTCTCTTCACAAACATGTTTTCTTTTAATTCTACATTTGAAATCTTTCTATATATAGTCTTCACATATATACCTGTTTCACTGTAGCTGTGATAGTACCCTGGAGATTACACTCTTCCAGTTAAGTGCCCACACAGGGGGTTCTGCCAATATGGGCTTTGCTGGAGGTCATGGGAAGTCACACTATCAGCAAGTTTTCCAGTTGTGCTAGCCCTGACTATTAACTCAGTCTAGCAGTTTAAAGTTTATTGTTACGAGCATAACTTGAATTGTGATCAAATACAACATGGCAGAGCTGAACCGTGACAGCCGTCTGAAGATACGTTTCAAGGAGTATAGAAGTTTCTGGCACATGACAGACATCGAACTACCTGTTGTAGTCAGGGATGGGGGGGGGGGGATAGCAGATAACTAAAGTAGCAGATAACTTACTAAACTTTGATGCATGTATCAAAATTAAGTTACAAAATGCTTCAACAAATAGCTATATAGTGGAACTGTTCTATGCAGGCTTACTGTGGGTGCTAATCTATAACACCATGTGGGGTTGAGGTGCTGGTTCAGTATTTGATTGTCTTATCAGAGGGTGTCACCATCAGCAGAATGTATGAGTGAGACTAAACCACCAGGTGCCCAAAACGGTTCCATCCTCCATTAGATGGGACAGACAACAGGAAGGGGGTCTGTATGATGTAGATGCAACCCATGTTTGGACTTGTGTGCTTAGGTTACTAGCATCTGAAACTGCACAACAGTGTTCTAGGGGCCGATTACATATCACACAAGAACTTAGAATATTGTTTGATCTGAGGAATGTACTTTGATAAAGTTGTCTA